CTATTCATATGAACATTCATAAATATATTCCTTTATGATCTATAACTCAGGCAATAGTCCTGAGTTAATAGTCCTATTAACCCAATTTTAAAAACAAGTTTAGCACCTCACCCTTAATCAATAAATGTCTTCTTATTTCTTCTCTCTTGGGCTTTTCACTGCCCTGACATCAGCAGGCAGACAGCAGATATGCTCAAGTGAACTCCAAATCCTACTCTAGGCTCTGACACCCTTTGTTTCTAGCATCAGCTAATTGCCTGTACCTCAACAACAGAAAGCATCATATTACAGGCTTCTTTTGGTATTAAATATTGAGACGACTCAAAATGAATTCACCTGTCCTCCCCCTACATACAACTGCACACCAGCTCTGGGAAAGACAATTACAGGTGATGCAAACATGCCCTGGGAAACACGTGCCAATATATGCAGCTTAGGAATCAATGCTCGAGCAGCTCCCTTGACAGAAAACCTGCTGCAAAAAAAGACGCTCCCTCACTTCTGAGGGAGCTCGTTTCTCTCAATGAGAAGCGATGACATGAAGTTGAACCCTCTCCCGGTATTCCCCCACACTATTCCTGCTTGAGAATGCCTCCAATGAAAACAAGTCGCACAACCAGGAGGCAGGGAGCTTGCTGAAGGACCATGGAGTCACACCTAGTAATGAATTTGCCACACGGCTGTATTTCAGCACGTGAGTGATTTATAGCTCTCAGTCCACAGAGCTACAGTAACTTCTTAACAGGAAAACCAGGCACCGGTGCTGTACCCAGCAGTTCTGTTATGCTCCAGGGAAGCTACATGGAGGGGGAAACAAAGAGAAAATCGGCTGTTTGGCACCACAGAGTATTAAAAAAAGGCAGGGAAGAGGCAGGCAGACTCCAAACTACTGCCCAGAGCAACAGCATCCCTAAAATCTCTGCTCACTTCTTGGTAAGCAAGGCCCTTATGAGTTTGGGGTGCTTCAAACAGTGACGTTTAAACCTCAATTACAAATGAGCGAATAAAGGGCCAACTTCCTCTTGGGCTGGAGGTTTTTGTCACACCAGCTGTGGAGGAGGTGTATCCGTGCCATCCTAAAACTCCCTTACCACAAGCAGCAACCCTAGATCCAGCCACACATTTGAGTTTACCCACCAGCATCATGCTCGGCCGTTGACACACAGTCTGCCTAGCAGAAGTGCAGCAAAGCTATACTGACCACTGAGTCTTTCTCCCTGCTCCCTTTCTTTCTTCCGTGCTTTAACCAGAGCCACATTGCTGGCCTGGGCAGGTTTGTGCTGGGCTGTCTCCAGGGAGCGGCTGACAAACCATCTTCCTGGCACACCGGAGGCTGAACAGTCTTCTGCAAACCCGACCCGACTTTTTTGCAGCTACACATGAAGGGATTTTGTTGCAAAGGTCAAGTGACGTGAAGTGCGAGAGTATGAAAGTAACCCTTATTTATTTTTAGGATTTGCAAACCTAGATACTTGGGAATTTGAATATTTATCAACCCATTTACAGGAGAAGTCCAAAGACCAACACCTTTAGCCAGATGCTGATTTCTGTTGTCTTGCTGAATAAATCCAATACCTATTTTTCCAACCAGAAGAGCCTGAACAAAATCACTTTTATCACTATGCATCCTGAACTGCTGTCCAGTGATTGGTTAGTTTGCAAAACCCTCGTTAAGTGCTTCACAGCTGCTCCCTTGACTCCACATGAACAGTACCTAAAGAAGGCCCCATAAAGCACCCCATGGTGCTCCCACCTTGCACCCAAAGCTCAGCAGTGCTCTTTTCCCCAGTGCATACCTGAAGGCACAAGTGTATTTTCAGGTATCAAACAGGTTCATTACGGGCTCGGTGCCCAGCCTATTGCGAACACCAGAAAAAGACCTCTGCTGACTTTGGAGGTCTTCAGCTCAGTTGGTGCAGATAACACATTTGTATAAAGGTGGGAGGATGAAGAAGCAGTACGTAGAACAACTGTGGGAATAACCACAGGAACGCTCCAACTGAAGCTTCGCAACGGCAGGAGCAGTCCCTACATCCTGGACATATTAAGTCCAGCAGTGCAGAAAGATGATCAGCAAATGCTTTTGTTTCTATTGGCATGACTTCCTGTGGCTGTCAAAAAGCTGGGTTCTCATCTGAACTGGCCAACCCTACTCCCTCTCTTGTATCTGGGAACAACTACGCATCGCTGAGGAGCAATTCATTCCCACAATTTTGGACCTCTGTTTCAAGGTGGGAAGAACTGGAGATACCTACCAGCTTGCACTGGTGACAAACACAGCTTGAATAATGACCGGAGCCTAGATGCACGACCTCAGAGGGCTAATATTAAGCAAGGGAAATCCCACCTTGTGCCTTTCAGCTCACTCATGGTTTACAGCAAGTCAGCAGTCGGATTCAAAGGGATGGTCTTTGATGGGTGAAGGCAAAGGTGCCAGCACTCATCTTGTCACCTCACTGTTCTGCTGGTTGTTTTTGTACTCAGAAAGCCCTTGCTACATAGTGAACTGGCAAACAAAGTCAGCAGTCCATGGCAATCTTGTTCAAAAAGTACATATATTTAATAATGATAACAAATACATTTTTTCCCCCTGGAATTCCCACTACTGTATTTCAGTAAGTCCCTTCTATGGTCACTGCAGTTTGACTGTACATAGCTACTGTCTAAGCTGGATACACGGTTATGTTTTAGCAGTGTAGTACTCACATATTCTCTATAAATATAATAAAAGATTTAACATTTCTGTTTTCATTCTGATTCTTACACATATTTACTGGGTTTTCACAAAAAATACATGTCTCTTTCCTGCCTCCTCCAACCTTTTACTGGGTTCCAAATAAACCTGAGTTTGTAATTCAAGTCAGTGTGTGCCATCTGTTCAGGTACGCAAGTCCGATGCACACAGACGACGGGATTCCAGTGGTCCCCGCTCGCTAGCTTTGCAGCGCAGGCCTGTTTTTAGCATGAAGAAAAAGAAAATGCTTTGATGTTTTTAAACAAAAGGTAGAGCTAAAATGGACCCCTGGGATGAACAAGAGCTTTGTACAAACAGAAGATGACATTTTTCAATCTGGAAATGAGTGGAAGTATTTCAGGGCTGTCTTTCTTGTCACACTGGGGTTTTTTATGTCTATTATTTTACAGGTAGCTTCACTACCCCAGAGGCGGGTGTCCTCACCACGGTGAAGAGTACAAGGCGCATGTGGACTCCCCCGTACCGAACTGATGGGCAGCTTCAGTGCCGAGGTGAAGGTCCCATCTGCAGGGATTAGAAGCGTGCTCCAGGCATTCATGCTCTGCTGGTTTTGCCAGCAAGCGTTCAAAACACTAAACAGACCAGTTATCTGTTCTGTCAGTATTTGGATTAACGGCCAGTTTTTTTTCTTTGCAAATTTTGGTGTAAGACTGAGAATCGGGAACATGTACTCAGCTGCGGGCTCTGCTCTCCCCTGCATCTGCTGGCCATCCTTCCCCAGTCCCTGTGTATCTCTACGTGTGAAACTGGAAGGAAAGCTTTTCGAACAGGGGCAACTGGGCATTTTCACAGACACCAAATTGTTTGCAAAAATATTGAAAAAAATAGGGCTTAGATTCCTACTGATGGTCTTGAGGAAAAATCCCTGTCTTCCAGCAACGACCCCAAGAAGAAGACAACGCCTCTGCTGCCTGGGTGGGCAGCAGCAGGGCATATGAGGGCCAGGGCGGCCTGCTTGGGAACTAGACTGGAACAAGCTTTGTTGAGATGTCCCCTACACACAAACACATATGCAAGCGCGGTACGGATGAAAGAAAAGAGTAGTCTTTGGCTAAACCTTCTAATTTATAGGAAATGGTTTAAAGACAAAAACAGAACCAAAAAAAGAATTATGCCAACCTCTCAGATGTATCATTTACTTAGAAAAACAAGACTGGTATGCAGAACATGGTGCCTTTTAAGAAAGTTAATCTACACCGCTCGTAAGAATACTGAATTTTTGGTAACCACTGCATTACCAATCTCGCAGTATAAAACGGCACTGGTACAGATTCACGTGTCCGTTATTAGTCCTCTTAATTCACTGCAGTCTCTCAGAAAAGCCTTCAGGTGTGTCCAATGCTGCCCTGCTGTAACAGGGGCTAACGCAGTGCTGCACGTAGGCGCGCCATGGAGTTAGTATGGCTACAGAAATCGGAGGTGACTGGATTCTACAAACACAGGGTGTTGCAATCTGGATTACTGTTGGAAGCATCTGCTTGTAGACCCATCATGTGAAAGGAATGGGCCTCTAGCGTGGTGAGTTTCCATGTGATGAAACTTGCTTTTAAATAATGTTTCTTCTGAGTGACATCATTACATCATCATTTTCTAAAAAATTATTCTGTTATTAGCTACTTTGTGTAAACAGTAAAATCTGCTTTGACTTCCAATACTCCCACTTTTTCTGAATGTTTAGATCACTCATGTCTTTATTCAAGCTTCTGTCAATTTCATCGTCTTGGCAGTGTTTGTTAGCAAGTTGACTTTGGACACAGTATCTTGAGTTTTCCCATTCGCCCAGCCACGTGAAATACGCCTGTAGCAGTACCATGTATCATGTGGCACAGGCAGATGGAGCACAGACAGTCTTACCACAGTCCTTGGATGAGACTGGCGTTCGTGGCACCACGCACATTACCTTGGTGAATCAAACCGTTAATGCTCGCTGCTCTTCCAATCAGCCTTACTGCAATGCTAGGTGAGAGCAGTGAAAACACACATTCATGTCGCTCTTTCAAGACATGTTTTACTGTACAGTCAGATGCCAAACGCTAGTATTTCTTGACAGCACAAGCAGAGCCCTTCTCTTTCAACTTTAATACGTAGGAGAACGCCTTCCTTTCAAGCAGACCTCTGATTTTCTACGTTGGACCACTGTAGTGTATTACGTAGTGACAGTAACATGCCTGTGGCTTTCCCTTCTTGCTCTAAGTGAAAAAGGTAAGGTCCCAGAGACCAGCAGTGCAAATCCTGGGATGTCAGACTAACACTGGCCGCTGACAGGATCTGCCGCATTGAAGGAAATCTGCGTGGGGCTCATCTGCTGCAGCTGAGGCATCCTCGCCTCCAGCGGCTTGTCGCTCGCCGACTGCATCGTCTGGTTCCTCTTCCGCAGCATCTGTCCGATCCCCATCATGGGGAACCTGCCTCTGCTTTTAACACAGTTAGGGCTGCCCAAGGGGTTGTTGGAACCCAGCTGTGTAGGGGACACTGCTTCTTCCTTCGCCGGATATGCTTTTTCTTCATATGTGAAAGAGACTTGGGTGGGGTGGACAGGGGACGTACTGCCTGGCTGAAAAAGCGGGGACAGTGTCCTTTCACTGGAGCTTTTGTAAGGGAAATTCATTGGCGAGCCTAAAATCCTGTACTGATGAGAAGGGGAAACCTGGTCTATTTGGTCCTCTCTGTCAACCGACTCGAAGGAGTGCACAATATTCAGGATGAGAGGAGAGTCTTTTGCCCGGCCCCCGATCCGGGACGGCTCCTGCTGTGGAGACTCCTGCCTCTTGAGGAGCCGAGGGGTTCTGGGAGGTGGCTGCTGGACTTCGAGGTACTCCAGGGAGCTGGAAGTGACGCAGCCTGTCTTGGTTGCCAGGGGTTCGTGGAAAGGACTTACCCCACCGCTGGAGTCTGCAAGGCAATCAGAGAAGGAACCAGAAGAGCAGATTGCATTACTAGCACTGCCATCTCTGACTTACGCCAGACAGCGTCTGACATCACCTTTAACAAACCTCCAAAGAGCAGGACAAATGCACTAGCTAAGACAAATGGTCTTAGGGATATACTTGGAACCTAATTCCCTGACTCTCATTTGATACTTACATTGTTGTTTTATGGGTAATTCATCTGCCACTTTCCTCAAAGGCAGGAAGAGAGCTTAAACTGAGTAAGACAAGGCCATGAAATGGAAAACCACAGATGTCTTCAGTTGTTTGTATTAATTATATCCTCTAAGGCCATGTCTGAGAAATCTCACATTTCTCCTTTCTTAGCACAACTTTGCATGGTTGTAATTGGGTCTGCGTATTGTATATTCACTGACATACCTAGAGACCCAGGGGACAACAGTGAGTTAATCCCTAATGTCTTTACGTGCATTGTGGAACAAAATCTGTTCTTGGTTTCACACACGTAAATACGGAGTAGCTGCACTGGCCAGATTCAGGCTGTTGCGTTTGAAACAGATTTGCTGCATCGACTTCAGCAAGAATCTTCCCCCAGCGAGGACTGAATATAAATGGAACAATCTTTGCATGATTTGTCCGAGTAAAACAAAACAGCTCGTGGAGATTTGCTCGGTTTCTACACAATGCTGGCACTCGCTTATGCCAAGCTAGTTGCAAGAAAACACACTTTGCCGCCTTTATGGAAAGTGGTCCAAGGAGCCTGCTTTTCTAGGTTCCCCCTAATTAAAAGAAGAGTGGACTGCCAGTTAATCACTGTCCATGACCTCAGTCTCAAACCCTCTAAAATGCATATAAAATAATTTAGGCCTGCCAGCCCTTGGGTCACAGCCGCCAATCTCACATGTATTTCTTTTGACAGGGATGGTCTTTGTAGGGGTTGAGATCTGAATGGAGGCACGGGATGCAATCACTCACATTGAGAGCTGTTTGGGAAAAGCAGACCAGGTTTAATCTGACTAGTTTCTTTTCAAAACTGGGCAAAATCATTTAACCACTTAATTTAAGAAGTCTCGAAACATGGTTGCCATAAGCAGAGAAATGCTTATAGCTGAGCTCTGAATGACCTTCAGGTTTCAGCTCAAAAAAGCAGGGAGAACCCTAAAGAGGAAGAAAAATGAACTAGGTTTCCTTCCCCCTGTGCCTCCCTCCCAAAAGGAATGACAAATTCTGAATGAAATGATCATTTTTTAATGTTTTTTTTCTAAATTTTTCACAGAAAGTATGTCCCATTTCTGACCAGCCCTGTGGCCTACCGCTACCCTGCAGCAGAGGTGCCTGTGCTGCCAGATGAACACCATGTGGACATTTTTTTAGGTAGAAAACATCAAATGATAAATTAGCAAGTCACGAGAAAGAGCATAAAACCACCATAAGCCACCACTCTAAATAACTCCCTGACACCACAGCAAATATTTTACATCACCGTACTTCCCCCCTCTGCTCTGTAATGACTTCCCCTCATTTAGTTCCTTCATGCAACAGCCAGCTACATCGCCTGCCTGCTCCTCAGCATCTCCCACCCACACGTGCACCACCGACACCCCATTGTCCCCACTGACTCCCCTTTTCCTCCCTTCCTTTCTTCTGCCTCCTTTTGCGAGCAGCTCTCATCCATCCCTCCCAGTCTGGCTCTGCTCTCCTCTGGATGTCTCCTCTTTTCCTTTCCCCGTTAATGCTTTTCCCCCCTCCTTTTGCTGCCTGAAATTTGCTGGGGTTAGCAATCCCCTCAGCTGCCTACTTCCCCTTCCTCCACCATCATCTGCTGCCCACTGCTTCCCTCACTGCTTCTCCAGTTGGGGATTTCTCCCCATGCTGCTCCTTCTCCCCTTCTTGGCAAATGTGTTCGCCGGTCGGAAGACGCGTCTCTGCCGGCTTGGGTTTGTCATTGATCTGGGGTGGGTGTTGATGCTTTCAAGGCACCAGTGTGAAGTGCAGATGATTTCGTATAAGTATGTATAAACAGGGAAAGAAAGCTGCTTTTAAAAACACTGTGGGAATTCTGTCCAATAGAAAGAGAAGTAGAAGTGAGGATTCATGACTGCTGAACATTGTCATGGTTTCCTCGGGATGTTTCGTTCGGTGTTCGGCTACGTTACGCAGCCCTCTTTCACACGGCACCTCCGGAGCAGACAGCAAGCACCAGCCCACGACTATTTACTAACAACGCCCCCTCCCCTCCCCGCACATAAGACGCTCTCATTAATACATGCACATGCGCGTTGGGACACCCCACTGCCGTTTCTCCCACTGACCTTTCTCCGGCCCTCCAGCCTTGGTGACTTTCCGGTCCTTCAGCAGAGCCTTGGTGTTCTGTATCTGTGAGACAAGACAGGAAGAAGGCTGTCTATATGAAACTGGACTTTTCTCAGTTTTCTTTGGGAGCTGACGGTGAAGAATCTCCCCTTTCTTTTCTTGTTCTTTGAGTTTTTTGTCCTTGAAGTTGTAAAACAAACAAGAACAATTTGGTTTACTTCAGGGAAGTTTAAATGACCCCCAGACTTACAAGCACACCGCTTACCAAAGCCGAATTAAAAGCTATACATTCACAAGGAACTTATCCTGGCTACTCGAAATAACTGTCTCTTCCACGTCTCATTTTCTTCTGATCTGTTTGACATGATTTCGTGGGTCCCATCTGCTCTGATACTCACACAGTTTGAAAGTTGGATTTGGAAAGGAAAGGAAAGGAAAAGGAAAGCTTTCTCTTCAGAGGCCACTTGTCCTAGAAGACCTCCTGGTTTTGTGCTCCTTCATACCTGAAATTTGCCTCCCCATTTAAACATCAAAAAAAAGTCTTTGATTTCGCTTTACTGAATTTCCTCTGATGTTTGAAATGGGGAGCTGCAAAGCTTTAAAGAAGTTTAGACTCTTTGAGTCATTTGTCTTCTGTCCAAACAAGATCCAGAGGAATACGGCCCTTGCTTTTACAGCATCTTTGCAACTGCATGAGACAGGGAGAAAACGACTGACCCAACCCTTCACTGAGCCCTAACTCCTTTTTGTGACGAAGAAGGCAGCTGAAGGGGAGACTGCATTCATCCTAAAAGAGAGGTTGGATCTCCAGTGGTGATAGAGGAAAAACAGAATCTGGGAGTGGGACTCTGCAGAGGAATCCAATTTTCAAAGCACTGTTTTACAGTAAAAATCCATTGTATCTTTTTTCAACATGAGTCACTAGATCCTGCAAGCTGCCACGGATTTCAGGAGGAGCCAAAAGTCTTATTTCACTTCTAAAAATCAGGCATCAAATTTGATGCCCATATTTTACTATCCCTCAAAGACTTCAACTATCTCTCACCTTTCTGGAACCAGTCTGTGTGGTCTGGTTTTAGATGTCAACCTCAGAGAAGTGGGGCTTTTGTTTTGGTTGCTTTGTGGTTGTTTCTTTAGAGGGGCATTATGTGACATTCTTTGTGCGGTCGTAATTCTCGTTTAAGCAAGATGCTTTGCTGTCTTGTTAAAAAGTCACTGTGGCTGAAGTCTTTTTTAAAAACATGCATGAAAGTTCCTTCACTCAATTATGTGCTGAGGCCTGTATTTTGTCTGGTAATTACACCCTGCCAAAGGGCTGGCTCTCTTGGTGACTTTCTTTGGAAAGCTCACTGACACAAAGTCTGTGGAAACCCTCAAATGCAAAGCAATGTGCACCCGTGTGAGAGAGGCAAGGGAAAAAGGCGCAGAAGACAACTCGGGTTTTCTTGGGCCACTACACAGCTCTAGAAACAGGACACCTAAGAGGAGCATGAGTGGACTGCACCCATTTTCATCATTCCCAGCTAAGACAGAGTCCAGTCCCCCGCACAGATGGTGTCTGGGCACCGCTGGGCTCATTAACCCTTGAATTTGCAGAAATTATGGAGTGGCAAGGGAGAGCTTCAGTGAATCATGAACTAGGGTTTTTAGTTTTATGTCACAAGTGGTTAGGTGACTTGGGAGAGAGAGAACCAGAGACCCTATCTGAGCTCCTCACTGTCTTCACCTCAGTCTCCCTTCACGCATGCGATTTTTGTCCCCAGCCTTCTCTCCATCCATCCCTTATCCGCTCTGATTTCTTGAAAACTGGCTAACCCTCCCACAGAAATGAACCAATGCATTATGGAGCCATCACCACTTTGCTTGCGCGATACCTCTTTGTCCACCCTTGCCCTTAGAGGCTGTAAGCACCTCCAGCACCAAGCGTTTATCCCTCCCTGCCCATGCCGTGCTTGGAACAACACAACGTCTGATCAGTCCCGGGCACTATCTTGGTGCCAGCAGTCACTATCGATGACGATGAAGTAGTAACAACAGCAGCAATAATCATAACAACGCTGTGTGAATAACACCCTGCGACAACAGTCTGTGGGAGCTGTACGGTTCAGTTTGAGCTCACCTCGCTATTTTTCCTCTCAAGGCTCTGAAACTCTGCTGCCAAGTTCAGTAGAGACTGGGCTTCACCAAGTATCTTTTTTTAAAGGTATTTAGGAGGAGACCACATGGTGACTATATTAAGCCTAAAGGAGCCGATCAAGACTGTTAGCAGCTTTCTGCTATTCTGGATAGGTGAGGAAAGAATCTGCACGTCGGCTGCTGCAGCATCTGTCAGAATGCAGGTCGTTTCAATGCTGCAATGTTTTTAGCTTAATGGTGCGAGAACCAGGCTGCAGCTCCTCACCTGCCAAGCGCTCCTGACTTTGCCTTCACACTGCTGTTATCTTTTCTAAGCAGCAGTAACACAGTCATACCATACAATTAAAACACCCATGGAAAAGAAAATTCACATATCTGGTGTTAGCAATTAATTAGTTTACCTGGATGAACACTGCGAATGGCCTTATAAGTAGTTTTTAAAACTTACTAATGCCATTTCTCTTAGACCATGGTTGTGAGAGAGGAAACAAACGAAATCCTAAACTCCCAAGGTGCCACGTACTATTATATTTTAAAAGGAAAGGAAGAGTTCCTTCAGGGGAGTTATAAAAGTTGGCTCTTCACTTTACTGTGAACAGCCATGTAAGGGCAGGCTGTTGCACAATGCCGAGCTGTACCGGTATGTTATACTTGAATGGATTTGGCATTACATCATCCTCTGCTATTTCCTGTCCTGACCTCGACCCCAGAACCTGCTCTAGTCCCAGCAACGGATTTGGAAGGAAGATAAAGGGTATTTGTGTTGGCCATGTCTGAAACGGTGATAGAACAATGACACAAGTTCTTAAAAATTGCAAATTCCCTGAGTATAAGCCCACCAGCTACGCTGCTGGAGGAGGTATTCCCAGTGCCCTCGATTCGCTGGAGGGACAGCCGCTCATCACCTAAGGCCTCTCCAATAAAGAGAGATGGAGAGAGAGAGAGAGCCACTGCTGCCTCCCTCCCTCTGCCCTGTGCCACCCATCTGTCCCGAGCACTAAAATGAAATCAGTCTGCAGAACAGCCTCGTTACAGCAACTCTCAGTCCTAACAGACGGATCCCACCACCCCAGCTTAGGAAACTGAATGGAGAAGGGGTTCTGGGCATGACCACTGCCCTCGTACTGGCAGGCAGCCCCTCGCCCCAGGCAAAGTCCTTACTGCAAATCGCTGGAGCGAGGTGGAAGAAATTCAGTTGGCTGCTGGAGCTGAAGCTGACCAGCCCTCTCCCTGCTATTCCCATGGCAACCCATAGCTCCGTGCAATGCCTGCCGAGGGACCAGTGCTTCCCAGTTCCCTTCTGGAAATGGGGATGGAACCACAGCTCATGAACCTGCCTGAGCTTATAAAATCCCTACCCCTGCGTCCCGGTGGCACCCACTGATCCCAGTGGCATGAGCTAGACACTACCAGGGCAATGTTCCCATCCACGTGAAGGCATTTTAGGAGAGATGTCTAGCACAGTTACACATGGCAGTAGCATCCCAGGGTCAGTATTCATCCAAGTGTGCTGCTTCAACAGGCCTGGTACAGTGAGGATAACACAATCCCCTTGCGTAAATACAGCTAAAGCGATAGAAAACATGCTTTATACTCAGCTGTGCCCATAGAGAAAGAGAATATACTGTATTATTATTGCGGTGTCTGCACTGTGATTCCATCGAGGTAACTATTTCAAGAAAGAAATTACACCCCTTCATCCTCTAAATAGCAACACGGGGACTAACTCTGAGTGCAGGAGAGGCATTGGAGGGAGCCTTTATCCCTAAGCATGCCCACACACCGAACTGGGGTCACGCAGTGGCACTACCATTAGCTTTCAATTATCCTTACAGAAATCAAATACTAGTTCCCTCCAGGGGCGTGGGGATTTCAGGACCACCACCAAACCAGACCAGGCCCAGGCCCAGCTGGGCATGGGTGCACAGGCAGGCCTGGCTGCAGACTCCTCTGCACGGGGTAGGTACGCCGCAGCTGTAAGCTAATGTCTGGATGGCCGGCAGTACATGCCTGTGGCTCTCCGTCGCTGCACAGAGGAGTGACATGGGTGGCTGGAGGAACCTGTCCCTGGGAGCACCAGGATGCACTATGCGACATCTGCACCGTTCACCTGCAGGTACATGCCTGTGCTTCCAGGGGAAGGCTGCCCTGCAACAGCTTGAAGTAAGCTGTCAAAGAGCGCTTTGAAATATTATATTCGTTGAGTCTACCCAGTGCTGATACACTTTAAGTAAGGCGGGCTTTGATTTACGTAAGAAAAGAATAGTAAGTACTTTGCCCTAATATTTCCATCTGGCTTGCAGTTCAGCTTGTCTTGCAGTTCAGCTTGTCTTGCAAGCAGTCTTTAAAATAAACAAAACCAGCCATGATACAAATCTGCCCCTGCAATTAGATCATCAATCCTGTGCTGAAGAGTAGCTTCTGAAGGAGGTACACTCTTCAAGAACACTGCTCTTTGTGTTGGTAGGTGAGACTTGCACAGCTCGTATTGCTCTTGTAATTTTAGTGCTTGGCAAAGAAGTCACTCAGGGAAGGAAAATCCAGCCATGAGAAAAATACTGTTACCTGATATGTATTATTTTAATACAAACTACCTTCTTCATTTGCAGGCGAGAAGACTGGAGACCGATAGAGGAAAAGGTAACCTGGTTAAATCTTTTCTCTAGCCAAGGGAAGTCCCTCACGATACAGTGGGCTATTTCTGCATCACTTCTAAGAAGCAAAAAATTCTAACCTGGGCGTTTTGTGCTCATACAGTTTCTGGTAGTCAAGGCAGGCTTGGTCCAAGACACCAGGAACGCCAGGTGACCAGGGAGGGTCACCCTGGCTGTCACTCAGCTCTCTGCCCCACACCATCAAGACTCAAGGCAACACAGTTATGGTCTTCTTACAACACCAGCCAGTTGCACCCCAGAATGAAACTACGGTGCCCTCCCCCGCCCAAAGAAGTCTGTGTTATTTTGCTAAACAGAGCATTTAAAACTTTTATTTTCTTCATAAAAGCTGAAAGTCACCTTTACACTTCCACCCTAGGGGGTTGCTACTTGTTCCTTTGAAAAGAAATTGAGGGAATTATTTGTCCTACCCAGGCAAGACCACAGGTATTTTTTTTCTCCACAGGATCAGAAACCCATTGCCTTAATCACAATCGCCAGGGATCCTCAGATTCAGTCTGCTTTCAAAGTACCTTAATGAGCTTTAATGAGCTTTACCTCATAGGAGTCTTTATTTGCCTTGTATTTTTCTATCTGGTATAGTTGGTTCTTGTGGCAAATATTGTCCTGGCCTTCAGACTTCTGTGGAGAGGGAAGCACAGAAAAGTGAAGTATGTAAGATAATTAGAGAAAACTAACATTCAATTACTGCTTAATGGACCGTATCCACTCTTGACATTCAGACGAGGTGCATCAACTTACAGAGATGGTAAATTTGCTCCATTACATTTTAAATATCATCAATGGCATCATCATTAAAACAAGCTTGCTAAAAGAACTGAGTAAAGAAAAACACTAAGAAGCTGTTGTCAGATCGGAAGGCTGTTGGGGATAATTTTTCTAAGAAGCAAACGCATTAAAAGGAAAACTCCATATAAGCCATCCTCCTGTCTGTGCAATCACACAGGAGCCTACAGACCCTCAGCTAGTTAAGACTCCTCACCAGACCACAAGCAGTTATGCGGAGAGGCCAAGGGAAGAGAACGTGCAGCTTGTCTTTGTGCACTGTGCCCACCTCAGCACTCCAGCAAATACCACGCACAACGTGGTGAGAGCTCAGCTCTCCAGGATGTACAAGGAAGGGTGACATGTGGCAGCAGACTCCTGCCCTAGAGATAGCTGCCGTGCAAACCCGTCAGCTGCATTTCTGACCCCTAAGCCATACTCAGGGGCCAGGAAGGTCAGCAAGTAATCAGGAGACTTTATAGTAATGTTATTTCTCAGGTAAAGCTTTCAGCTATGTTTTCACTTAAAAACTAAATAAAATCTTAATAGCTTTTAAGCTTCCTCCTTATTTCCTGAATCGAATTACACTGCGTAATTGCTATTCCAAGCAGCACAATTATCTCAACATATGGACAAAGTACATCAAAAGTCACACGTATGGCTCTGCATGGCAAGAGTTCGCCTTCTGGAGGGGATCTCTGATGGAAACAGGGACTTGTGAGACACAAAGCCTATCAGCAATCGTATCTGCAACCTGGAGAACTCTCACCTGAAATAATGTTATTAGTTTCTGAGGAATATTTCCCCTCCATGATTACTGTTACAAAATTAGGAAAAAACCCTCCACAACCAAAAACTCAGGTAAAGCCTTGAGCTTAAACACCAGAAAGCAGGGAAACTTTTAGCAACTTTTTTTACCCTCCTCACCCGCTCATCCAAAGAATCAGCATCAAGCAGTACTTACTCTAAGGCTTGCCAAGTAGCGCTCCAGCTTCTTATTAAGTAGAAAGTAGATGGCAAGCGTGTGACTTGCCCTGTTTGAGAGCACAGTGTTGATGACATCGCTGTTCTTGTATCCGAGCTTTTCGGTCATATGGTGCAGCACACTCTGGCTGAGATCCTCCAGGTGAATTCTGCACAGAGGGAGAGGCAGAGCACACCGTTCATACCGTCCTCCCAGCGACCAAGCCTTGCCAGCCACGGGGGATGTGGCAGAGTGTAAAGAAGAGGCCTGCAAGGCTCCGTAACATGGGAGTGATTAGCTCTCTCCTCCCACGAGCAGATAACAAAAGGGCAGGCTGTTTGGGAACCATGGGAACCATGGGCACCATGGGAAGCCGTGACAGCTGAACGAACAGCACACTCCTCACCATGTCCTACCCTGGCTCCATGATGATCAGGATGTGCCGTTTGTTACCTACACTACTTATGAACAGTGAAGACCATCAAGACCATCCGTCTGATTTTGAAGGAAAAGAGGTGAAGTCCAGCTCAGGTAGCTACGTTTTGCTTTCTGAGATGACCCTTTTGTAATCAAACACCACAGTGTTCAGCTTCACCCCTTAGCTGTTGCACAACAGCCAGGGGATTTCCTCCCGGAGAAAGGGGACGTACAAGGAGGGCTAGTGCAACAGTTCTCAGAATGGTAAAACTGCCACCATACTCACAGCGGTTAAAAGCAGAAGCCCAACACATGTTCACGTATGTGCCCACTTAACAGACTCATAACAGACTGAGCCAAGGTGAGAAATGCCGCACAGCAGCCTCGCAGTGTAAGTTAAAACCAGATTTTCCAAACAACTCTGCTCCTACTTAGACCTCTAAATGCACTGGACAGCTTCCCAGATGTGCCTGTCAACTCCCATCCATCTCAGGAAATGCTGGGTTTTGTTCGGTTTCTAAAGGATATTCCTTGCTCCTAATATCGAGCTTAATATCTGGCTAAGGCAACTTAAGGGAGCTTAGGTCATGGGCTTTTTGACAACCTGCCTTCCCTCTTTGAAAGGACTATTTTCCACCTTTCCCACTCCTGCCCTGCTGTCCCCTGTCCTGTGCACCTGTGATGTGAGGAATGCCTGGAGAGCAACCTGGGCCTGATGTAGAGGAGGACTTAGACAAGATGTAAAACACAGTCTGGAGAAACTTAAATAACTCTCTCCCTTTATTCAGCGTGCTTATTAACATTCATTCAGCAGCTAAGGGTTGCTTGGGGTTGGGGTTTTTACGTTCAAAAGAAAAACTTGCCTTGGCCATTGCACGCTAAAGTACCTGGACAGCAAAAGAAATTCAAGCAATTTCTACTTGAAGTGCTCAGCAAAATAGGAAATTTTTGCTTGCCTTTGGGGAATTTCTCTAATAAAAGCAAGCTTGTAAAAAACCCTGGGAGAATATTCTCCTGAAAATGCAGTTTTTGCCATTCTTGTGCCTTATCTCCATGCTCTCCCCTTTCCTGCCACGGTTCTTGTCTTGGGAACACCGGGTGTTACCCCCCAGATAGTGTAAGAGCACTGCAAGAACATAACACAGCTTCTTGCTTGTGTAATAAAAAGCATGATTAAGAGAGGAAATGATTCCTTGCAAATTCAGTAGCGGATTTTTCAGAACTGTTTCAACACATCTTATCCACATCTGCACACTACCAAAAACTTGAGGAAACTCTGTCGAAGCTGACTTTAGTGGTATTTTCTCAGGCAAGCTCAAAAGGAGTCTAGCCATGTCTTTAAATATTAGAAGCTTCATATATTCCCTGTAGGCTCCTGTATGACAAATTCTAGGTGTCAAGCTTGGGGCATAAAATAATTAAACTAAAGAAATACCATTCAGAAAATGAAGTGAAAGAAAGAATCTGTATGGCTTTTATTCTTTACAGCTTCACATAAAACCTGATTTTGGATGGGAGGAGTATCTACTTTTCTCTTGCTTTCAGACCAAATGATGAGAAAAGCAGTGCAATGAGAAAGAAAGAAAAAAACTGATTTTTTTCGATAGCAAAGCACAGCAGTCCACACTGATGTTCCCTTTAAAAATGCTTATAATGGGAAAGGATTCGTATCATCACCATATACACATATACACGTGAGCAAACATATGCCCTCTCTATAGTTCAGCACTGCATTTTCTCCTGTTCTTCCTTTTCATTCACTTGCCTTTAGGAGGCAATGATTAATGAGCACTCCATAAATAAAGAGCATTAATAGGGGCCAGCCTCTTCTGTAAGTCACCTACCTAACTGCAGCAATGAGCAGACTCCAGAAGGGATGCTTCCACCACTACCTGACTAAAGCCCGACAACTGCAAGCTAAGAAGTCAAAAATAGAGTCATGAAAATGCAACTGCAAATGCAAAAGAATGGTGAAAGCAATTGCTAGCTGGGGTTAAACCGCGACACACATTCAAGCCATATTTCTTTCTTCCCTCTTTTCTGCAGATAAGACACACACAGCAAGAGAATTAAATTACCCATACAGCGCTCAGTTACACTTACATTCACTTAGCAGATGCCACATTTAGTAGATTGATTAGACTCATTATGACAGCGATTTCATTAGCTTAATGACTCATTCAGTTTACACTTGTTTTCCCTTTCTTTACCATACAATGTTCCTATGTACCATACTTCAGTACACCATGGAAACTCTTATTTCCTTTTGTTGGACGCCATACTAAGCAAATTAACTCAACTGCCCTTAAATTTGGGGCAGTAACGTTGAGATAACGTGTCTGCCTGTTCTCATTCTTATTCCTTGTGACACAGTCATTCATAGTGGCCATCTTTATATTCTGCCCATGTACGTCTGAGAATTACAGGCAGCTAGCCCTCCCTGTTTCAGTGGATGGCTCTAGTGATGCCTCCAGGCATCCAAGCTGCTCAACATCTATCCAGCCATATTTTGATAGTGGGAGACCTGTTATTCTCCTCAGGTCAAGGAATGGCATAGTCACAGTGATCCTCCATGATGCAGAACTTGGAGGTTGAGACACTATCTCTGCAAGGCAAGTGCTTGCTGCGAAATTAGGGCAACTCCGTGCCCTGTGAACGCAGAGGGAAAAGGGAGATGACTCAGGTAGGAGCCAGCACCACGTGGGCTGTGACCCATAAGCCAGATGACAGCAATGTCAAAGGGAAAGGTCCCCAAAATTTCTTAAAGGCCATGCCAAGATCCGTGGCTCAAACTGATTCCCTGTGCCCCAATCCAGCAGGATCAAGCAGTGGCAGCGCTCGTTACCTGCTTCAGCAGTAAGAGAGGGGTGCTGCAGCTGCCTCTCAGCCCCACAGTGGTTGGACCCACAGCTCTGAAACATACCCTATTCACCTGTAGAGCAGGGGCAGAAACGGGTGGGAGGCACTCTTACCAGCAAATGCGGAAGACTGGCTGCATGCATGGCGTGATCGTGCCTATGGGACAGAGTCCTTCAGAGCACTGACACAAAGAGATGGCCTGGTTGGTGAATGCCAAATCATTTTTGGGTGGAGGAAGGCGGTTCCGACACTCAGACGAAAGTAAGTCATCGCACCCCTACGCATACGCTACATCTGGTATCTGGCAACTGAGTAAACTGTACGGGGGAAGTTAAGATCTTCACTTAGGGACTCTCCTCTTAGTGAGTAAGGACAGAAATTTTGGGGCACTATCAAATTTTAAGCATCAAAATTAGCCTTTAAGTTGCTTTGGATCTTGGCCTGCAAGCTACTAACTGCTACAGTGAATCCTCCATCGATACTAGGATGTGTGTATGGGACACAGCTGCAGGGCTTTGATACAGGAAGGAGGTTATATCTGATCCAATATAGACATATATTTCTAAGTGAGTTGCTTGAGGCTCCACTTAGAGTCACTGGAGAGGAACTCGGATCTCCTGAGCACAAAGTCATCCTATTGTGGAATCAAAAAGAAGTCAGATGAATCATTCTGTAGAAAGTGCCCTTATTTCTCTCCATTGACTGTAATGAGAGCCCGGGTTGACTGGCTTGTGTGTAGACTCTACACTGCAGATGTTTAAAGTCAAGTAAGATTATTTCTAACCAAAATGGACCACAAGTATCTTTCTTCTTTTTCTTCTTCTCTAGATGGATGTTTGACTGGCCATAAGATTTGCTATCTATTTGCATTTAGTCATGCATTCAGCATTACACAGGTGTTAAGATCAGCAACCAATACAGCAATATTTAACTCTGACCTTTCTCTCCAGAGTTTGCATATTTACCTAATCTACAGAACCTCACATATGTATCACAAATAGGCTTGAGCCCAGAAAAGTGCCTCGGCTTTACCGACAAACAAGAAGATCAGAACTACCTGTCACACATACCATTCCAAGGTCTGGAGCCAATTAATCATACGATCTGCACCCCAGACCACCCTGCAAATAATGTATCATGTGCCAGCTTCTGATTTAAGGTATTGTTTTTCACTGTGCCAAGCAACAGATACTCAATGGCCAACCCTAACAAGTCACAACAGCAATGCCATAAAATGCAGTCACACAAACTGCAACACAGGTCATTTCTCTTTTAATGTATACACACCCTGGCAGGTTTTCTCCACTCTTTCGCACAGTACCTGTTTGGATATGTGACATTAGGTGGTGCTCTCCCAGGGTAATTCTCATTAAGCCACCGATTTGCAAGCGCCTGCTGGATGTTTGGTCTCTTTGCAGGATCTGGCTCTAGTAGAGATCGTAGAAAGTTTATGGCCGCTGCGAAGAAACAAAGAAAAACAACAGCTGTGTCATATGCTTTATGACTTAACACAGTAGTTGAGTTACTGACCAAGAGCATACTAAAAATGAACGTTTTCCTTACGGTGTGCTCTAATGACCTTGAGACAAAGGAAAACTTGATAAGGTATTAGTAAGTAAAATAAACAATGATTTATAGCCACAATGATTTATGGAGTCATAAAAGAGGGGAGGAGAAGTGCCTTTTATTTCAGAGCTTGTTTGAAGTTTCCGAGCAGGTTAACCAAAACTTAATTTTTGTATGAGGACAAGAGGTTGGAGTCAGGTCAGAGGCAAATCATTCAATCTGTGTTTAAAGCAGGCGGTGGACTGAGGGTGAGTGGAGGGGGAGCATGCAGAGCTGGGAGGGAAGACAAGGAGAATTTGGGTCCCTTTGACATTACAAGGACAAATCCTCCCCTGGCTTCCATCCAAGCTACAATCAGTTTAAGGAGGTTTTAGCCAAATGAAAAGAGTACAGTAAAATTAATGAGCTTCGTTCTGTTTTCAGATACTGAACCTCCAACTTGCAGTGACATTCAACCATCCCTCGGGAGTTTCTCACAAAAACCCTCAAAGGTATTTCTGTGATATTTTTCAGTCATGTGCTTCTTACATGGGTAGGAGCAATGGAAGATGTGATTTGCTTAAAGACTCACAAGAAGTGCATATCTGAGCTGAAAATAAACTGGTTTAACTAGGTCTGGTCTTTATTCCTCAAATTATCAAGACGAGATTCAGTTTATCAGCTACAACTCCCTGCACGAAAGATAAAGGAACTTAATTCTGGGAAAATCAAGATGAGAATGATTTTGTAGAGGAGACAGAGTCAAACGATATGATGCCAAATGAGTCCTGAATTAAGGCAACAGCAAGCAAGAGGCAGAAGTGATGGCTCCGGCACAGCTTTCTCCAGCTCAGATGGACAGGACCTTGGGGGTTTTCTTCCGCCTTCTCCCACAGCAGAGCTGTGGTTGCCCTCCTGCGCTCTCCTGAGCATGTGCTATCTACTCGTCTCCTTCTTAGCACAAATACCCAGGGCAGTGCCAGCACAGGACCACTGTGGCACAGGGTGGTATCCTCTGGGACTTCTTCTGGGTAAGCTTCTTCTTCAGCTCAGCGCAGGCAAACCAAATAAACCCCTTAAAGGCCTGTGTTACAAAGCACATCAAACTGGATGTGCTAACACCTCAATGCTAGAAAATTGTGAAATTATGAGCCGGTCCTCCCATTTGGCTTTCGAGGCATTTGGTCTCACCGCCCCAGCACGCTCACACAACACCACGCCATCCCCCACTCTGAAGCAGAGCAGCCGCGATGTGTCTCCTCCACCAGCTATACCGCAAAAGCCTCATGAATCCCCATCCTCACAGTTTCAGGAGCATAATACGCCTGCCTGCAAGGCCACAATGTCCTCACCTGAAAAGGGCATAAATGTTTACCCACGTACAGTGTTTCTGCCCTTCACAGATTCTCCTCTACGAGACTGCTGCCCTCCTTTGCTTTTGACTGGCCATCCCTACGAGCATTTTTATTTCCCAAGTACACCAGCATCACCACCCTCCCGCAGTATGGGAAGTGGGACTACAAGAAAGCTGGAGGGAGACTTGTAAAAATGTACAAGGGCCTGTAGTGACAGGACAAGGGGTAATGGGTTTAAATTGAAAGCTGGGAGGTTTAGATTGGATATCAGGAAGAAATTCTTCACAGAGAGGGTGGTGAGGCACTGGAATAGGTTGCCCAGAGAAGCTGTGGATGCCCCATCCCTGGAAGCGTTCAAGGCCAGGCTGGATGAGGCTTGGAGCAACCTGGTCTAGTGGAAGGTGTCCCTGCCCATGGCAGGGGGGTTGGAACTGGATGGTGTTTAAGGTCCCTTTCCAGCACAAACCATTCTGTGATTCATTCTATGATTCCATGGCTGGGATGACATGTCAGGACAGGGCAGCAGACAAGGGAGAGAGGGTTTCTCCTCAAATAAATCAGGGTTAGACCCATTTGGTGCTGACTCCTAAAAGCTTGGGTAACCTTAGTGTTCAGCATCGTGTAAAACTTGAGTATGATCTGGAGAGGGCCCCGAGAGGCTACCCATTTCAACACAGGCCTACCATCAAGAAGTTTATATGCAGAAGAGAAAAAGTTACGATTATGTATTTTCCAGCTCAACTAGGCTGGGTTTTTTCTAAGCTCTGTCTTCACAAATTGCTGATTTATGTGAGAGATTTTACTTTAAATCTTCCCGATGTTTTGGGGTTTTTTCCTATGACAGCAATATTGCAGGAACCGCAGGGGAAGCCCACATCCAAGTTCATAAACCTGCTGGAAGCTGATGCTATGACTGCTCTCTGCATGCCTCGAGTTCCCCCCCATCACGCCCCTCAGATGCAACACCCACCCCCCCAATTATGGCAAACAACAAACCCCTTGTTCCTCCTCTCTGTCCAGTACTTCCCCTGACTCTGATACACGATGCAGCCCACAGGTTCAGAGCAAAGTAAATAACCCAAACCAACATCACTACCCCCCCATCACCACCACCCTCAGTCCCCAAATCAGCTAACATCTCCTTAAAAAGTCCTTTTTGTCCCCTCCCTGAGCAAAATGAAAGCTAATTAAATGAGGCTTGTGAAGCACCAAAAAAGATCAACAGATACGGACCAGGAGAAACTATTTCTGAAGACAAGATGCCCTCCCAGGAGGTTCCCTGGCCGGCCGGACCCAGGCGACAGGGAGGAGATGAGTAATGACACCTTAGTCGATTTGAGCTGTCAGAGCTTTTCCAGTTAGCCCCACGGCTGTTGGACAGCAAAATGAATGCCCCCGGAAGCAAACACAAAGCTGCCCCTTTGCTTTTTGGCCCCACTGTGCCCAAAGCCATCTTCCCTGCTGCACCAAGCAGGCTGGCCAAGAAGGGGAGCAGCGAGCCATCCCCTCAGGGCCCTCGCGTACGCCGAGCTCAAGGACAGCACTAATCTGGTTAGCTGGGGACCTGCACTCGGTGGAATTTTGTTCCCGTGGCATAATTCTGGGGCAAACTTTGCTCTTTTGACAAATGAGAGACCAGCATCATGAGAAACTACACTTCTCTCTTTGCTTCCTTGAGCGTACCGAGCTCAGCAATGACCAGAAACGGAGAGCGCTATGGCGGGGATCACAAGGCCTCAGCTGTGGTCATGTTCCTTGTCATGAGCAAAACCAGCTTGGTGCCTTGCTCACGCTACCAGGGTGTGCCTGGTAAAAATGAGGTGTACAGGTGTTGCTTACAAAACCAGCTGGAGAAGCTGGTCACGAGGTCATTTCACAAGCTACCAGTGAGCTCCACCTAATACAATCCTTCCTCCAAAAGACAGGCACAGACATACAGACAACGGCTTTTCTTCTCCTCTTCACTTCATTCCTCTGCTCCGGAAAGAAGACCACAAAGAGGTAAATTGTGGGTAAAAAAGGGAATGTGTGCAAGATGAATATCAACTTTCTGAACTCTGTTTACCTAAAATCAATAATCAGATGGCTGTGTTGTTTCAGAAGCTTAATGAACAATGGTTTCCTAAATGGGAAAATCAAACACTAACTCCAAATTTTCCCTGCGGCTACACGGTTGCTTTGGGCGCTCACCCACCCAACGTTTCAACTAATATAAATAAAACATACTCTTGCTTAGTGATAAGACCAGCTACTTTTGCAATGGGACTGTGTGTTCAGTAACTGTGAAATTAAACACTGAAAGACAACTTACTGAACCAGCAAAACAGACTCCTGCAAAAAATATCTACTCTATACGTGAATTTACAGAAAAAGAAAATCCTATCAAAGAAAAAGATCCAGAAACCTAGGATGTTAACGAACACAACAATTTGCAGAGCAGAGGAGCCGAGTTTCTACCTACTGACCCACGGCCTAACTGTGGCAAGAACAAATGTCATCTTAAATCACAGTTTGCCATGTCTGGGAATGTGCAAGGCTGCTGACTTAGATCAAGAACTGATGCGTCCCTTTGTTCACAGTGAGTAAAGGCTGACACTTTTAAATCTATTTCATTAATTGCCATCATCTCTGAAAATTCAAGCTGCTATAGATCTCACCGGATAAACAAAATACTGTTTTCACTGGAGACCATAGTGTTGGTGAGCTACAAATGCTACAGAGACATATTTGCAAGAAAATTTGATCTCCATTATAAAATGGTAGGATGAATGAAACAGTAAAATGAACCCCGTCAAAAGTAATGTGATCTTTTGTGTTACCCAAGGTCTGGTCTTCTACAGGCCTTTTGTGGGTGATTCAACCTTTAACACATGAGTTATCCTAGTAAAGTCAGTGAAATCTCCCACTTAAAAACAACTGAAAAAACCTGACGACTGGGGAAACAGTCCATTCATTCAAAGGCACTACACTGCCATTATATAACTGCTCTTTATTGGTAAAAGCCTCACACTGGGAGGTAAGTTTGGTAATTTTTTTGCCAAGCTTGGAAAATGTTTACTATGACACGCAAGTCCCTGAATTCAAGAGTGACTTTGCAACTGATGCAGGATTTGGCATCTAGATCAGTACAGCACAAAGCAGTCAGTATAAACTTCCTTTTAATTTACTCAGTGGGGCTTTACAGCGTGTGCTAGAACATTAAAATAGCCATTTTATGCAACTGAATCCTAATGGGAAGTCTCCAGAATGGAAATACCAAACACACTAATTACATCAAATAGACGGCAAGACTTGCAGCATCCCGGCTCACTTGTAAACCTGCCACTTCACAACATGCCAGCAATATGAACTGCTGGCAGGAAAAGTGTACTTCATACAGATGCTGAGTGAACAAGGAACAACATACTATGCTCGATCCACAGATAACCCGTGTGAGAAAACCCTTAACTACCTACACCTTCCATATGCGGGTAAATCTGTACTTGGAGAATTCACCTTATGACAGAACTTCCAAAGGCTTTCTCTTAATCCCCATGACAATGGTTGCCATCCTTCATGTACTGAGTGAAAATGTATGCTCTGTTACCCTTTTCCTATTTGCAATCTTTTAATTTCATTGAATGTTCCTGAAAACAGGCTGCCAGAGAAGGAGAACAGAAGCTCTCTGTGAACAACAAATTTAGGTACAAAAATAAAATTCAACTACAAAACAGAGTTTGTTCCAAATGCTGACAACGGTCTTGCTATAAGCTGAAAAATGATTCTGTTACCTAGTGACATGGCTTTGAATCAGGAATTAATATTTCTAATACTAATACATCAACAATTTTGCATTTTGTGAACGCACACAGTTTATCACAGGCCACTGTCCCAAAATAACTTTCTGTGTGCATGTCGTTATTCCATAATAAATGTGAGGTCATTCAAGGTAGCTTATCACTCAACCCTAGTCATGACAATGCCCAGGAATTTGTTATTCCAAAATAATGTGTTTATGCATCTATACCCTACACTAAAATCTTCTGAACATGCAAAACTGACCAACTACTCTACAAAAGCAATTTCACAGATTTTCACAGATTTGTTCCTCTCATATTCAGCACAACTTGGCACTTTTCCAGTTTACATACAGAAATCAAAGCAAAAGGAGTTATACTACAACAACTCCCGTGGATCTTTTAGAGGTTAAAATGAAAAATGTGTATTTTTCCACAATTAGCGTGTCATGTCAGCAGCATGACTCACAATCCCAAATTCAACCCAATGGTTCTGACCGACTGGATCTGAACAGGTCCCAGCACAGCCTCTTGATTACCTGTAGAGAGTTGGGTGGGAAAAGGATTCATTTCTTTGTCCACCATTTTCTGGTATAAAGCTCTCAAGCTGAATGGCTCCACGGTAAAAGGTAATGTTCCAGTCAACATCGCGTACATGTTCACCCCACTAAAAGAAAACATAGAGAAGAAGAAACCAAAGTCATTGAGAACAGGGAAAAACATAGGCTTAGGTTTTAGTGACAGTACTTCATCTTTAATGTCTGACAACTATTTAAAAAGACCAAAAAAAAAAGCTTTCTTTTCTGTTGCACACAACGATTTGGGCAAGAATTCCCAGAGGTCACACAATGTGTAGGACATAAGCTGGAAGTCACAGAACCGAGCCCAGCTCTTAGGCAACTCCTCAGCCAAATGCCATGCCACGATTAGTCTCTCCTCAGGCTGCACAAACATGCTGCTTTCAGGGGCCTTGTCCCGCTGCTACCCTGGGTGGGGAATGACTGCCCGCCCCAACGGGGACATCATCGGTCTTGGTTCAGGGCTCAACGGTTTCCACTGACCTCCACGGCCTCTGGTGCAGTCCAAGGATCAGGTGTGAGCAATCACATTTTTCAAAGCAGAAACCTTCCTGCTTATTCATGCCCAGCAAAACCAGGAATGAGAACTGGTTGGGCACTCTTGTCCTTTTTCCTCTTAAAAGGGCTTTAAATTCAATTAATTTCAATTTCCCTTTTGGGAATTTGTTTCCCCAGCCTGCTGAATATACTTATGTGAACAGAAAGAAACTAAACCGGTATGCTATCACAAAACGTGAACACAAAAACCATTTGTCCAGCTATGAGGAAGTGTAGGACTTAACCATATTTTATTTTCCTTTTTTTTTTTAATTTAAAAAACCAAGGAAGGACATTATTCCTGGAGAATTTTAAATAGATTACAAGAATGACTGTACTTTGTTTGACTGTGCTCCTCAGGGCTGGTACTCTCACCCTTGATGTGGACAGATGGCCCACTGCTAGAGTGAGAAATTCAGTAGTTATGGAATGATCAAGCTGTGGGTCTCCCTGGAGGACAGCCTGCAAAGTAGGCTTCAGCAGAGGAAGTTCTAAAGAGCCTTGAGGTGCAACAGGGGACTCACTGGGTCAAACTGAGAGATGAATTTGAGCCAGGTCCTAGCCTCATATATAAACTATGGCCAATCTGTTTTAGCAGCAGTAGTATTTATACAGTACGTTACATTTTCCAAACATTCCAAATACTTCAAGTTGGGAATATTTTATTTTCCGTTATTTCATTGAAATTTATTTCATTGTTATTTAAACCAATGTTTCCCTCCCACTTGGTGAGGGAAATTCTATTGATACTAAACCAAAAGCTAAAACTCAACTGACTTCAGCCAATCCTTCTCCAGGACTAACAAGGATAACCAACAGCATGTCCATGGCCAAGAGCGGGGTAGAGGGAGCTGCACAGTCTACAACAGTACTGCAGACAAATTTATGGAGTCCAAAGCATCTTTGCAGCTTCCTCTACCTCTGGCAGTGGTGACTTCTGTCTGTTCTTCTGCCTCAACACCAGTAAGCTCACAAAGGCTCACAAGTTTTCTGGCCATTTTAATTTCTGCTTTAACGATCGTGCTTTCAAAGTGATGACCTGACTCAATTTCACATTTCTTGTTGGACTTGACTGTGGATAATGACCGTGGCAGAGCCCACGTGAATGCTTGAGGATCCGTTGGGGAAAACTAAAAAAGCTCTTGGTCCTCTTGTGCCAGAGCCATTTCTCCTACTGGGTGTGAACATCACTGATCAACAGTTGTGCCTTACTGCAACCTCTCCATGCTATATGTTCTAGCGATCTATATACAGGTACCTAAAGATCTATTTCAAAACAAGAGACCTGCGCATTTCAGTTCACAGAGTCATACTAATTGAACAGTTTCTTGCTCAGAGTAACCCAATATATGAGTAATGTTTCTCATTTGAGCAATGGGTAACGATGACAGTAATAACAATTATAAACTAGAAAAGTAACTCACATGGACCAAACGTCTATTTTGGGCCCGTATTTTTTCCTTGCCAGAAGTTCAGGGGCTGCATATGCTGGGCTCCCACACTGGGTGCTGAATGGATCAGAATAACCCAAGATGCCTGCACAGTTGCTCAATCCAAAGTCTGTGAAAGGCACAGAGATAGAGTTATGAAAGAGGCAGATACAGTAAAACTGCGCTAGAATGCAAGGAAAAAAACCCCACATTTTTCCCCAAAAGCTAAGCAGTTAACTAAGAAAAAAATCATCCATATGCAAAAAATTTTATACAATTTATTTCTCTGAGGTGCGAAATAACAAGAGATTGACACAAGCAATTAAAAAAAAAATTCTTAGAATGAGCACAGTTATCAACTTCATACACAAAGCAACTACACTTCAGTGGGAATCGGATGGCAACAACTGGAGCGGAGCTTGTCCTGGGCACTACGTGATGTGCATGGGGCAGAAAGCCACCTTAGGCTGTCGCGGATTCCACACTGCTGCAGCATGTTGCCGAGAGGCCAGGTTTAAGTGGGACTTCTCAGCATTTTCCTCTAAATCGTGTAAATGAGCCATCAGATGTATGGCAGGGATGGGGGGTGATTGCTCTCTGGGACCACTGTGGCAATGCACAGGGCTGCAGAGTCAGCACTTCAGTTCTGAAGTAACACAGGGAGATCTTGGAGCAAGAAGGGGAATGCGTTGATGTGGCTCCTCCCTAACGGACTTCTGCCTTGAATTATTGAATTGCTGGCCCCTGGGTGTATCTGATGCTCTACAGCTGGCAACAAGAACAAGGGACTGGCAAAGGTTGGCACCATGAGCTGATGGGAGACAAGGGAGAGCCTCTCTGCACCGAAGGAGGCTGCAGTTTCCCAACTGCTCTCAGCAAATCCAAGACCAGGCTGGCGCTGAGAAGGGTGTTCCCAAAATCTCCCCTGTCTGCTCCAGTGCTGGTATGGCTGCAGGCTGAGCTGCATTTAGAGAAGGCTCTTAAAAAATTAAACCACTAGGCAAGGAAAGAAAGGCAAGCAGAGTGCCACCGGCAGCAGAAGTGGCCGGGGGCAATGTGCACCTAGGGGAGCGCAAGCCCACCCTGTGCCGTGGTAGCCCATGCTTGACGTGGCAGAGAGCAATTCTGAGACCACAGCTGACACAGAAGGTGAGGAGAGGTTGCAAAGGGTCTTGAAAGTGAAGTCACGGGCCTTGCTAAGGGGAAGAAGCAAGACAAGCTTGCAAGGAAGAGGGTGACATGGGCAAAGCTGACAGGCTGGGAGAACGGCCTTTGCTGCAGGGCAACATGTCCCGGAGTAGCGGATCTAGGGAGGTCACGATCAAAGATGCTGGCATTTATTAATAACTTGTTACTGATGACAGCTGCAACAACAAAAATACTGCTATTAAGAACACTGACATCTGTTTTGTTCCCTTCTTCTTTTTTTGATCCAGTCTTAAAAAATTCCCAGAATGCAGGCGTGTTTAAAATGACAGCTGTCATACATCAACGAGGCAGTCAGGAGAAGCAGACTGCTGAATCCTCTTCCTATAGGCTTGTGTCTTGCATCAAAGCATCTTGCAAAACCGCAGCTTTCTGGGTGTGCTACCCACCCGCCTGACTAGGCTCAAAGCATCACATCCAGCAGGCTTAATGTAGCAGGCAAGTGTTGAGCCCACCCAACGCTCACTCTCTCCACAGAGCCGTTCATTTGTGTCTCTCTCCCTTAGGTGCCTACTTCTTGGCCTAAGTCTTGAACTAACGGCCTGTCCTTTAGCTTTTACGTTAAATTTGGCTGAAATAAGACAGGAGTTCCTCAAGGCAATAGAAGCGCCCTGACAGGGTAGTCACATAAGCCTTGTTCCCTTACAAAACCAGGTGAAAAAATAATAATGCTTACAAAACAAATGCTATGATAAAGACGACTGTGTGAGCCGGAGTGCCCAAATGGCTGCACAGTGCTTTCCACTCGTCTGGCTGCATCTCTGAGAGCGAGACAAGCACAAGAGAGACAAGAATCACCTTATTTAACATCTAAAGAGGCTCAAAGGGGGTTTGCTTGAAAACATTTGTCAAAACTGAAAGGGGAATAAGACAATTCCCTTGCCTCTGATGGAGAACAATTGTCTTGGGACACTGCTTAATCATCTCTGCTAGATACGTATTACCCTGGGGCTTATACAAATACTTGCGAGGATCCATTTACTTATTTAACGTATTTATTAGCTATGGCCCAAGATGAGTTATGTCAACCGTAAAGTATTTTTTAAAAAACTCCTAGAAACAATATCTCCACACAGTGTTATTCATGGTCTTTACCCTGCTGTATCATACCACCTCAAAATTACTTTACTGTAATATAATGTTTTACAATCAAAGTACATAAGGGCTATATTCTGAGAGGGTGTAGATCAGCATCCCTTTATCATTCACAGAGAGGGTGCTGAAGCACTGGAACAGGTTGCCCAGAGAAACTGTGGATGCCCCATCCCTGTCCGTCTTCAAAGCCAGGCTGGACGAGGCTCTGAGCAACCTGACCTGGTGGAAGGTGTCCCTGCCCATGGCAGGGGGGGTGGAACTAGCTGGTCTTTAAGGTCCCTTCCAACTTAAACCATTCTATGATTCTATGATTAACAACGGAGGTATACTCTAGAGGAGGTTTTCATTATCTCATTTGCTTAAGCTACAAACACCTTATTCACTATTTTCAGCTCATTCCTTTAATCTAGGCTCCTGCACTCTTTTTTCCTAGTGCCTGCTGAAATGCAGAATGCATGCAAACACACGCATACTGGGGACAGGGATATTGTCGCAAAAGAAACAGCAATATTGTTATTAACACTGTGGCAGCACATCGTGATCGTAGTGTGATTTTTATTACGGATGCACTGCTGATCTCGATAAAAATGGTATTACCACCAGCATTGATAATTTCACTGCCACTCCTGCCTCTGTCTTGGGCTTCCTTTCAATAAGCCGAGCTAATTACAGAATTCAGATCAAAGGCCACACTTGGTTTTCCAAAGTAAATATTATGACATGGAAACTCCACCACCCCCACTGTTTGTACTATCGAAGTACCGCATTACGCTACTACTCTTTAACGCCTCCAGGAAATCAACATTAAGCTATGGATATATGGCTATCTCTGAAGCTGTGACAGTTGGAATAGGGAAGGAGCTATTAAATAACAGAGAAGCCTTAGCAGCAAGCTCGTGGACAAGTTTGACCAGAGACCCACAGAGCTACCCACGTATTGGCAGGGTCCTTTCGGTGACACAAGTCCTCGAGCAGGACACCAAGGACTTGTCATGGCCCATGAGTGGGTTTTCACGGCATCTCTATCAGGCACCTACCACCAAGGGCTAGTAGATGAAGTGAATTATTATTTCCAGTGTTTCCAATCCTGATGCTCTTAGATTTGAGACAACAGACAGCTAAGAATAAGTCCATAAGATTTTTTCTAATAATACTATCTAAGAACACATTATAAACCACCTTGTCACATAGCTAAAAAGAGTAACAAAAGCAAGGTGCCATTAAACAGCTGGGTGAAGAAAAGGACTCAAGGGATTCAGTTCTCGCTGAAATGCATGAACAAGCAGGGACTTTCAGTGTTACTTCCTGGTACATTTTTAATCTTCATTTGACCTTTTTCCTTTATGGTGGAATTCACAGTTACTCAAAAGCAACATTTTTATTAGGTACTAGTGTGCTTGCTGCTGCACAGGACACAGAGAGCAAGATCCCATCCCAAAGCAGTTAATGTGAGTTGGTTTTGCAGCTCGAAGACTCTTCTCCCAAGCATGAAAAGCAGCACCTAATTCCTCAAAACATGTTCTTCACTCCTGAAGAACCTTCCTAGGCAGGACTATATGACGACACGACTGATCCATCACATTTCTAGAAAGATAGACTATATAAAATACTGTACGAAGCACTGAATGAGCTGAGTGAGGGAACAGGCAGGGAGGAGGAAGGGGAGTAATTTATCTGGTCTATAAATTACCATCTCGTCTATTCCACCAGACACAGACAGGTGTTGGAAAATTTTCCTTGTTCTGGGAAACCCTGGTGCCAATAGAAAGCTGCACGGCAGCTCAAGTACTACTGCTGCTACCACCTGGAAAAGAGGTGTTGGTGAGGAGAGGTTGCCCAGGGACCTGAGCCTGGTTTCTGCAGCCCCCGCTCCAGCTTTCCCCACAAGCGCAGCGGACAGAGCATGCAAGATGGAGACATTGCTTCCAGGGTGAACAACCAGAGATCACCAGCATCGCTAGCGAGATACGGCGTGAGCTGACCGTGATATTAAATCAGGTTTTACGTACAGCAAAATTATTACTAATAAAGCAACCTATATTTTTTCTATAACATACCCAGTTGGACAGTGGGATTTAATTGCTTTGCTTTAAAATACATACTGGGTACAATCTGCTTTGCTTAAAACATCAGGCTGCAGACCCGAAGACAATTTATTTCAACACCAGCAAGGCTACAGAAGATCAAACTGACTCTTTTCTCTATTCTTCCCACACCACCCACTGCAAGGAGACCTTTCTATGCAACCGAGGCAAACGAAACTGCAGGAACAATTCTGAAGTCAGTTTTTGGCATGCGAGTTTTAATTGTACACGTATCATCTGATTAGGTCTGGGTTTGGATGTCAAGTTCACATACTGTTGTGTAATCAAACACCCGATAATGGGAAAGTTATAGAAATTCTTTAAATCTATCAGATGTTCATACAGCACTCTGGCAAACCATCTGGTCTCACTTATCTGCTAAATCAAGATAATGGGTGGTATCCATCATTACTGATGAATGATTCATGGTAACATATCGGTATCCTCTTGACCTGTAGCTGAGGTAGGTAATGCAGAGTTCTCTTGCTATTACTTTCCTGGAGTCGGTTGATTCGCTACAGAGTAATGACTAGAAGTCAGGGTAATACTTCCACAGACTGAATTCCCTAGTAAATTTTGAATATTTCAAATTCCATTAACCATCCTCTTCTTGCTTGTTTGGAGATACTTTATACGTTACAGTGAGTGTCCATTTGACCTGAACATTAAGTGTTTTTCATCACTTCTCAGATCATGAAACCTTTTGAAGAAAGCAAGTCAATCGAGTTTTTAAGTCTGCAACCACAGACACTGCTGTTGGCAAAAGTGTAGGCGTAAATATAAACAGATGTTTGGGGTTTATTTTATGTCGGGAATGTTTTCTTCTCATGCCCACATTAACATTAATGGGAGTTGGGCAAAGTCACTGAGAGACTATACCCGCTGATGATTAATCTAAAATGTCTGCACAACCTGAATGAATCGAGTGCGGCGTACAACTGATACCCAAATACAATCAAGACTCTATCGTTGATCTTGTTTATTTTTTAACAGCCCTCTAAACCAATTTTATATTGGGTGCTGGAAGCAAATTTAACAAATACAAATATAGGACCGAATTTTGCCAGCTGCTAAAAATGTGTGCAACTCCCACTGACTTCAGTGGAAGCATATGCATATGGGGGCAGAATCCAACCCTTAGTAAATACGATATTATCAAGATAATAAAATAAATTACTTCTGTGGTGTAAATTCTTTAATTCTTTACAAAGTTCCCAATTTGAATATGAAAGCTGTTGGTTAAAAATGTAGGATTATTCCCATACCCAGTTAAAGCTGAATTATTTGGAACATTTTTTTCACAAGATGTTGCCAGGAACAGCTTGATTGCTATCTATACTCTCTCAGCTCCTCTCTGCAGCAACATTAGCAGTTGTCACATGGAGGATTATGAAGTCTCAAAAACTCTCTTTATAAAACTACCGATTTTAATTACTGGAATTGCCAAACTGGGTTCATACCAATAAGCTTGATATTGTTGTCTTCATCTAGCAACAGATTTTCTATCTTCAAGTCTCTGAAAGAAATAAAATATTTTGAGTGAGCCTCCAAAATAATGAAGCAGCTTCCCATCACACTCATCAGTGTATTTCCAAGATTCATATGTAATAACACATATAATGAAAGCAGTGCACACAGTTCCACATTCAAACAGAAAGCCCCATGTATTGTCTCCTCTCCAAAACTACCAGTGCTTTCACACACAGCTTCACACCTATTCTTCAGGAACAAAATGACTTTATAAACGTTTGTCAGTACATCCAGTAATTAATCAGGTTCTTAAAATCTCTCACGTACCTAAAAGTTTGCAGAACTCTTATACACTGGAAACATTTCAAATATACATTTTTGGAACTGGAGGTCACTTGCTTACTACTCTTCACAACCGAAGGCTCTTTACTGACCACAGCTGAAGAATAAACCTTCTTCTGCAGCGATCTGAGAATTCAAACATCAGTCCTCTGCTATTGTCTACAAGGGAGTACAGAATCAACCTTTCTTGGGGATGAAGCATCTCAGCTCCTTATACAGGTGGTCAGCATTGGTACTCCCATACGTTAGCAGTAAAAACTGAGGCTGAGGGATTGAAATGACTTGCCCAATGTCATCCTAAAGGCCAGTAGCAAAGCCAAGAGAAGAAGCCACACCAGTTTTCTGAGTGCCACAATAGTGTTTTCTTCACCATGCCACCCTGCCTGACCGCACAGAGCCACTGCACAGGTCAGGGCCTGGACCAGGTTCGGGAGAGCGAGAATAAAAATGAAAGCAGTCTGCTCCTACAAGATGACCAACCCTCCTTCAGGGATGTACATCAGCACATTGTTCACTTTACACGTGCCCTTTCATCACTTAAGAATGTGGTTGTGCCTTCCTAAGCCATGTTCTACGGAAGAAAAATATCCCAGAGATCACTCACCCCCACACAAAACCACCCCAAACCCCAAACTGTAGAGATGAAGCATTAAGTATAATACGAATAAATCATTTAGGTTGCTACACAACTTGTCCATGACCTCTAGCAGTTGGCTGTGTCTTTATCACAAGAATTTTTCCCCATCCAGACATAAAATATTTCTAACAATCAGCATGGCGGGATATCAATAGCTCAGACAGGCAGTGCTGCTTCTCTCAGCGTGCTTCGGAAAAATCTGGGTAATAAAGCCATCAGCTATAATTAGGGGAAGTCAGTGACATCCATGGTATTTTGCCTTTGTGAGGCAAAGGGAGTAATGAAGGATGCCTCTATTACAGTTGAAGCTATAAGGCTTAATAAAATAAGACAAGTAAACCAACCAAACCATAGTACTGCCACGTGAAAGGGTCTGGGAAAGAAAGAAAAATAGCTGTGACCAACTCCAAGTCTTTTTTAAAACCTTCCTTTCTGTTTCATTTTATGCCCATGCTGTGTTTCAGATAAACCTGAGGCAGAAGACTACTTGCAGGTAGCATGCAACTCACTTCATCACCACAACTGCAAGGACCTTCTCCAAACAGATGTTTCTACACCCCAGTGAGCATTTCTTGCGCCTCTTCCTTGCTTCACGCGTGAAAAGAAATGGGGGAAGTACTATATACATCTACTGAAGAACAATATTTTGCAAATTTCAGGTATTCAGGAGCGATATCCAGGCTTTCCTAGAGTGTCCAGGCAAACACTTCCTGAGGACCGCCTTCTGCACCAGTAACTCAGTCAATAAAGCACCAGCCTGAGAGACAGGAGGAGAGGATTATGTTCCCTCTTCTGGCAGTAACCCATGTGTGAACTTGAGGAAACCAGCCACGTCAAAAGTGACAGCTAATTTCAAATACCACAGCAGAGATGTCACCACATTTGGCCATATTTTGACCAAGACCCAACCTACAAAGAGCCCACTCTCCAGCCCTGCTCCTGCTCCGAGGGCGAGCACCTGCCTTGGGCTGTGCACCCCATGAACTGGCATCCATGGCATCCCTCTCCACATCTGTGGGAGACTCCAAATGCCATGACAGCGCTGCAGACCCACCGCCATGCATCCTCCAAAAGGTGTTTCCCTCGTAGGACAACCACTGCTGCTGAGAAATGGCTTGATACAAGACTGATGTGCCCTGCCAGATGGATCCAGATTAACCCTCTTCTGCTTCCCTCTACTGCCAAAAAGAGGCTTATTTCTTAATGTCTTGCGTTTTTATTGCTTGCAGGTGGAGGTTTTCACAAACAGTATGATTAGCCTCTAGAAAGATATCAGGGCCTGGAATTTAACAGGAGAGACTGCCAAAAAAACAGTATGGGAAAGATGAAAAAAACCCAAAACCACCACCAAAACCCAAACCTAAGCTGAAATCAACAGAAGCACACAGAGCTCTGGATCACACACTGCAATGCTCAGTACAGTGTCCCAAAGCAAGGAGAAAGACCATTTGGAAGCTCTAAGTATATTAAACTGGCTAAGAAGTAGTAAGACTGAAAATAAAGGCAAGGGAAAGGAAATATGAAAGTCTGAAGTTGAGGAGAAAAGACACACGGGCAATTAGAATAATAAATGAGTGACAAGAGGGCTAAACATAAACACGAGAAATTATGTTAAAAGGGATACAAGGTTAAAAAAATAAAACTAAAGGTAAATATTACATGGCATTTTAAAGCTATCAGAGGAAAAAAAAAATAAATGTAGATTCAGTATAGAGTGCAATCAGACATGGTTAATTAAAGATGTTTACCCATATGTCTATTCTCAGCAGATTTGCTGGTAAGTGGCAACTTATCTTATAGTCCATATGCACCAGATTTTTGACAACCCATGTCAATATGAAAGCACTTTTTTATGGTTTGACAGTGGGAGCTAGGACAACAGGTTTTTACTCCTTGATACAACCTAATGAGATGATCCCACACAAACCAGCCTTAGAAATGCGAAGCAAAAGCCATACGAAACCAAACCAAAAATACCCAGACTAAACCATAGTTGGAGAACTGCTGCTGCGTAGATGTGGGCCTGTGGGTGTGCACTGGGAAGGACCCCGGGCAGCCCGATCACCTGCAGTAGGCTGGCAGTGGGGCACAGAGGCGGCAAGTACCGCAGCCAGAACAGCAGCAGTGCAAAGAGAGCCTGCAGGTCTGAACAAGATCCGTGCCCATCAGGACAGAAGGGTTATTCAGTAAATACTTCAGGTGACAAGTAAATCGAAAGCGGGGAGATTTAGATTAGATATCAGGAATAAATTCTTACCGGAGAGGGTGGTGAGGCACTGGAACAGGTTGCCCAGAGAAGCTGTGGATGCCCCATCCCTGGAAGTGTTCAAGGCCAGGCTGGATGTGGCTTTGAGCAACCTGGTCTAGTTGAAGGTGTCCCTGCCCATGGCAGGGGGGTTGGAACCAGATGGTCTTTAAGGTCCCTTCCAACCCAAACCATTCTGTGATTCTATGACTTTAACAATGCAATAGATTATCCATTATTTCTTTTTGACAAAAAGTACAGTGGTAAAATCCAATTACGTATCTGCCTTAGGCTCATCCTGGAGACAGGACCGATTTCCTCAAACTTCCTAAATTCTTTATTATGCCAGTTCTGTCCAATTCAACCTTTAATTGTTTTTTACAGAGAGAGACTTATCTGAGTTGCTGCTTTGCTTGAATGTTTACCTTAAAATTCATTGCAACGGAAAAAGTAGCACCATTGCACCCAAGAAGTGTTAGGAAACCCTGAGTTGCATGCACTATATGCACATACCACCTCACTTACTACAGTCAGTGGAGTTTCTGCATGTTTTTAATAGCTGCATAGTGCAAGAGGGAACACAAGTTACCAGCTACGACACACGCAGCAATTGAAGTCCTTGATGAAGTCAATGGGAAGACGTGCTGGTCCGTGTGGACTCAAAGGTCCTCACAGTTTTGCACGTGGCTTGCACTTCTTGGTGGGTTCCCAGAGCCAGACACGGCTGCTTTGCAACTGGAAAGGCTGGGCAAGCACTCCCTTATGCCAGCAGCGCGTGCTGTGGTGTGTGGGGCTGACGTGGGGAGATGAAAAACAGTTGCTGGAGACTTTCTTTCCTTCCCTGAAGTAAATCCGATCTTGTTCCTTACTGTCACAGCTCCTCAAAAGACAGGACTAAAGGATTTTTTTCCCCCCTTAAGCAAATTCTCAGCATTTATTGCTGAAAAACTTAAAAATACCCTCAGTGATTACAATACAAAAGGAGCAAAACATTTTACCTTTTCTAGAGGGGTTAGTTCCATGATGCTGAGGGAGTCTAACTATGGTACAAGTTAGTCAAACCTATGAAGAACGCAGACACTCATGAAGGACCAAGCTGCATTTCCACAGCGCGGAGAATCAGCATATATTTATGCCTTGTCAGCTTGTGAAGCTAGCAGCGTACAGTCAGCGTTCCCTGAATTTGAAAATACACCTTCTTCATGGGATGGTTTGGTTGGGAGTTTGCTCTGCTGCTGATGGGGTGGATTTGTCTCTGGCTATGCTTAGAGCTCCACAGTCCACTTTGGAAAGCTCAGCTCCAGCCAGTGACTCCACTGAGCGAGCTACCCCTGGCTCCAGCTGTCAGCTCAGCGTTCTTTCGAAAGGAGCTTATTCCATGCCATTGCAGGCATCAGACAGCACATTTGAAGTTTTTGCATTTCACTTGATTTCTTGTCTGGGGGAGGAGGGATGAGAAGGAAGGGTTTACCAGCAAGCAGCTGCAAAGCAGCAGTTGTTGGCTGCTGTCTCCTGCACCTTATTTTTAATCAGAGCAGCAACACAAAAAAAACCAATCACCCCTTAACTACCAACTCGTAAGCTCACTTCCTAGCCCCATGCAAGAGCTGGAGGTGAGTTGGAAAGGTTGCAGAGATTTGGGTTTATCATCACACCAACATACACTTTAAGGGCTTTGTTATCAAAATATTAATTATTGTGCCTGATTCTTCTATCAGTCACAACGTCAATGAATTCAGTGCGGTTGCCTCTGTAAAAGAGTAATTCAGTCTATTGTCTTCACTGAAACAATGTTTGGTTTGTTTACAGCAGAGTACTCCACGAGAGAATGCCCAAAGGTAATTTTAAAATCTGACACAGAATAAAAAGACAAACTAGCTTTGCACTTCAAAAGGAAATTTTGTTCTGTAGTGCAGGATCTGTCATAAATATTGCATTGGCAGCCAGACTACTGGCACTTAAAATTAACAGCATGGAAGTTATCAAAGCCAACATGTCAATGTAGTGGGTACCAAGGCAGAAATCCCGTAGCACCCTGAGCAACTGGATCATATGGCACCACCTTACTCTCCTAGGGAAAGGGATCATGGAAAAATATGTAAACTCTGCTCAAAACCTTGGGGTTTTTTTTGTGTCTTTCAAACTCCTGATCTGCTTTTAATTACAAAATGGCAGTGGAAGGTACAAATACGCTGCCATGAAGACAGAAAAAGGGGGAATACAGAAAGCTATCTTTGCTACCAATACATTATTAAATTCTTTTCTTTGACATCCTGACAGTAATTGCACTGAATGGGATTGAATTTTGTTAAAATTACTTTAAAAGGGTTGTTGAGAATTTCCTGTGGGATGCAGTGGCAAGCACCAAGGCTTTCACTTCATTTTCTCTGTTGTCCTCACGCTCCCAAGGGGCTTATTGTTCATCCTGCTTTTTGACAGCATGAAGGCCTATGTAAACACCCTCTGAAAAGAGAAAGCTTCACCAGATACTGCCATTTGGGTTTGTTTTCCTCTGTCAGAGGGAAAGATAAATATTCCTACCTGATTCACAGCTGAGCTTGTTGCAAGTATATTTTTAGCAACCAACTGGCTCTTCTGATAGAAGACATGAAACACAAATGATTACACACAATTATATATAGAATAGCAGCATTTCTTTTTTCAGCGAGCAGCCAAGGAGTTCTGAACACTGGACACCCCTCACCAAAGACATAGCTTCTGCATTCAGGAGCTTGCAGTCTTCATCCATCATAGGAGATGAAATATTTATAGTTTAAAATACATCTATGGAGTCAAACGTGAGTTTTGGGGTTCTTTAACCTCGCTAACCAAAATGAGGTTTCTTGAAGTTTTTTAATTTTAGGCTGTTTGTGCATCAGTGCCTCTTAACAGAAGCATTTCCACTGAGTTCTGGGTCCCAGCTTGTGTCCAAAGATCAGAGCGCTTTTCTGCCACGCCAAGTCTTGAATCTGAGTCATGAAGCTCACGGAGTAATATTCATCAAATAACGTAACCAAATTTCATGCAATTTATTTGATCTGGATTTTTTTCATCCTGAGTTACAGAACAGGGCAAATCATCTATATTATACCCCAAACAATGCAGACAAAAATGCTGGTGACTTTTGTAAGAAAATAGTTGGTGAATACTTTTCAATGCCCTGCCCCATGCAGTCTGAACGACGAAAGCACTTGGAGAGAGACCCACAGTAGACCGCTTCCTGGCCTAGGATGCTGTGTTTTGTTTCACACGCAGTGAATGCAAACACCCACAGATCACCACGTAGATGAAAGTGCTGTTATTTTTACCTGCTTTAAAAATAACAACAATAACAACAACAGAACATTGCCATTTCATCCAGGGTGAGAGTGAATCAGACTGCTGCACTATTTTTTCCCCCTCTTCAGTTGCCGATTGAGTGGTCTGTTTTTAGAGTTGCCACGGTCAAAAGCCCAAGACGCTGAAGGCCAACTCCTGGGGTAACTCTTATTCTTTCTCCCTCTTTTTCTCACAGAGAGCCAGGAGAATAAATCTGGATCATGCCATCAGTGTATTTTCTGCATCTCTATGCTGCTCTGTATACTGTGCAGAGTAAGTCAAGACATTGAACCGTTAAGCTAGAGAAAATACTTGCAGATATACTGCCTGTGAGCCTGTCAAATGTTATCAGTTAAGCAGAATGGGACCTGCTCATTATCTGGATGGAAGAATCCCATGGACAAGCTCTGTGCCACGCTGTGATTTGAGAAATGGAGTGGCTGGAGTATGCTGCCTTTGGGGTAAGGATTAATCCAACCCCACGGGGCTGGATGGAGAGAGCTCAGCTGTGCGATGCAGCAGAGCATGTCAGTATTTCCAGGGCTGCTTCCTCTCCCTGCTCACGAAGGTCCCACACACATCAGTCTCCACGAGCTGCACTTAGGTTCACAGAGGCAGCAGAGAGAAAGAGAGGGTGAGGGCCAAAACTGCTGCCAGCTGCAGCATCTGTATGGGAACTCGTGCTCCTGTTCTCCCTGGACCCCCAAGCCTTGCCTTCTTTCCACTACAGTAGCCTCTCAATTCTAGCTTGTACCTAGTGAATGAGCTATTTTGGTACAAAATGTGGGTTTGAATCCTCTCTGAAAAAGAAGGGAATCAAAACCACACCTACCAAAGCCCCATAAGCCACTATGCAGAGGGTAAATTTTTCAGGGAGAGGAACTGCTGCTGAACTCAGTGCTGCTTTTAAAAGCTAAATGTGTTCATCTTGTTCCTGCCAGGTTTTCCTCTGCCCATCTCAGAAACTCTGACCTTTCTCCTTCCTCTCTCTCCCTGTACGCAACGGATATCAATTGACCCTTTAAAGCAGTAAGTAGACTTCTTCCTTGTCCATGCCCCAAACTGGGTGGTTAATAATTTAAAGAGATCAGCTGTTTAGCTGCTGACAGAGCACCTGCAGAATAGACCTGGTGGCTGCTGAAATATTTATATTACAGTGGTACCAGAAATTTAGCTCGAGATAAGACCTCAGTATACCCAAGTATGTATGTGCACGTGACATTTATCCCTAATGGATCACAGGGAACATACAGAGAGATTCAAGACCAAAAAAAGCAGTTTTCAGAGCGCATGGAATTCCACCAAGCCAGCAGCACCCAGCAGCACTGCACAGTGGTAGGCAGCTCAGCACACAGCTGGACACAGCTGGAGGAGCTGGCTGTGGGCTGCCTTCAGGCGGTTTGCCATCTGCCTGCCCAGCAGCCCTGTGGACAGGTGTATATAACAGCTCTCCATCCTCTACAGAGTCAGCGCGGCCATGGAAATTAGGTCCCAGATCCTCAAAAGCATGCAGGTGTCTAGCTCCTGTGACGTGCCTACATAACCAAAGTGGATGGGGCCTACACAACTTGCACAGTATCACATGGGAAGTATGTGGGAGTCCAGACTTTAACACCAGTTGGCGCAAATTTGGAAAGCAGAGCCGCCTTCTTAAACAATATCCTACAAATACACCTAAGAACAGAAGAGGAGACATACTGGCTCAGACCAAAGGTCCACCCAGCCCACCATCCTCCTGTCTCCATCGCAGCCAAGAACACATAAGCGGGGAAGGGTGAGGGACAGGCAACCACGTGTGATACCCTCACCTCCACTCTCCCAGCCTCCACCACTTGCTGATCAGGGACTTCAAGCAGAGGTAGTTATTCCTTACTCAGCAACCCTCTGCTGACTTCTCTCTGATGAACCTGTCCCGTGTCCCTTGGAGCCCAGGTAAATTTTTAGCTTCATAGCACACTCCTCCAAGGACAACCACATCCTGCTATAAACACCGATAGAGTGAAGGTGCTAAAGAAAGCAAGCAATGGATCATGCTAACTCTGGATCCCTCCTGAGAAGACATCACGAGATGAACTGAATGTTCATACTCTGCATTGTACTTCACAGTCTTCAAACTTGCGAGGTCCTGTCAAGCCAATAAAACAAGCGGGAAGAACAGAGAAGCAGAAGCAAGGGACTTCCGTGGTCCCACTCAGGCTTCATCCCAGCTGGTCACTGCGAGGCTTTGGGCAAATCAGTTCACCTCCCTATACCGCTGTATTTCTACCAGTACAACAACAGACACAATCACCTCTGTCAAGAAATAGTGAAACGATTCATTAGTTAATGTTGATGCAGAGCTTTGAAGAGGCAAAATTGTGCTACTTGCAGGGAAAAAGCCCTACTTTTGCAAAGCACAGGCTTATCTTTAAGGACATGGAGTCAGCATGGCTCCCCCGTGCTCACCTGAAGCTACATACTTAAATGCTTTCTGAATATACTTTCTGATGTCTAAAATATAAGCATCTACTGTATCAGCATAATTAGCCAAAAAATTCTTTAGGAATATGTTTTTAAAGGAAGTCTCCTTACTATACAAATAAATGTCAAAATACCACTTAAAGGCTCTAAGATGAATTTTACGAGAGTGAGTTTTTACAATTACCTGTGAACTACTCCTGCCCGGTGAAGATGTTCAACTGCCAGGATAAGCTGCCGGATATATTTGCGTGCTTCGTGCTCCTCGAGTCTCTTTTTCTCGTAGATCTTGTGCATCAAGTTGCCACCAGGACACAGCTCCATGACAAGGTAGTAGCTGTTTTCCGTCTCCAGTATATCCAGCAGCTGAGCAATATTCGGGTGGCGGATCATTTGCTGGATCTGCCCTTCCCGTCGCAGATTCTTGGTGACATAGGTGTCCTTCTTGGCCCTTTTCTTGTCAATTACTTTCACTGCCACCTAATGAAAAAAAAAAAAAAGAGAAGGGGTTGTTAGCAGTCACCCCCATGACTTATGGCTTTAACCTTGCAAAACCAACCTCCAAACCAAAAAACAAATCAAAGGATGTCAGTCTGAACTGATACACCATGGTTTGAGGCACAACTGCCCAGGTCAGAGAAATAGCTGGTTTTCCAACCCCACTGACAATGTCTTTATTTATTCCCTTGTACGATGACGGACAAAAGTTATTGAAAGGAAATAGGTGACAAAGCAGAGGAGGCAATCTCATTAACCATACGCACACGCTTAGCACACTTAATGCTGGGCTTTTATTTTATCTGTTTCCCCAGAAACTTTTCAGGTTGGTGTTTACAAGTTCTAAGTGTCATTTTTGGCTTTTCCTGGCTTTGCATATACAACTTGAGATTATATGCTTCCATGACAAGTTTCTTAAACTACAGCCAAGTGTTAGTTTTGCATGATTAAACAGAATAAAAAGTACAAAAAAAAAAAAATTGGTACCACCCTCCTGGCACATTTCTTTTTCCTCTTTTAAAATGTACATGAAAGATGTGACTTGCAGAACTGAGCAACTCTGCAAAATTCAAGAAGGCCAAAGCTTTTGGTTTTAATGCAAGTTCTCAGTGTTGTCCACATCAACTGAAGCCCATCATGAAAGTCCATAATAAAACTAAGGAGGCTCTGTACCACAATTTACAACACAGCACATGCTACCACCTATCCAAGTGCTTTCCTTCTCATTGCTGGTGCGGAACGCCACATGAGAACAAAAGGATGGAGCCAGCTAGGATATCACTCCCTTCCACGCCTAAAGAACCTGGTTCCTTTTATTGTTTTAACGGATTCACTAAATAGCCGCAATAAAAGTATCTGCTGCCTTCTGCCTCAAATTTATAGACACTTATTTATTTACTGAGATTTCTTCTTGAGATTGTGTGCTGCAGACGTCCAGGTCATCTGCACCAGACAAAGTTTTAACAGCTTGTGCCAGGCTGAGCAACAAAAGGCACCACGAAATCCTCCTCCCACGTTGCCCATTTCCTCAGAGCTCTGCAACAAAGGAAGCCCTCCACTGCATGCACCCGGACCCCGGAGCTCGCCCATCCTCACCCAAGTGACAGCTGCTTGCTTGTCAGGATGAGGGGGAGGGGAAACACAGTGCTTGCTATTCCCGAGTGACACGGAATTTTACAGGATATGAGAGAGTCTTGTTTGCACGGGTACAGGTCCAACAGGACGCACAGAAGATGCGACATCTGCCCCCCCACAGATGAGGCATGAAGATGCTGCATCTGCACCTCTGCCATCTGCCTTGATCTGGCCTTGGAGGATCTCCCGCATTACCTTACTCCTACAGCAAGGAGGAATAACAAATGGGAAAACCTGTGATTTTTCTTTACCCTAGCCTTAACACACACAACAGCACAAGCCCAAGAGGCTTCCCTCCATCTCCATCCCATACACCATCCCCCCTCACAGCTGACGACCTAACTACTCACAGCAAACTCACTTTCAACTACGGCCAACTACACTGTGACAATCCACAGCACTGAGGGCTGGTGGGCTTCGGCAACAGGGAGACAAGCTTATTCAAAGCATATCTGGCTGCCTTCCTAGCCTGAGAAAGTGCCAAGCACATGACAGCTCCCAGTCTGACAAGCCTTACCTTCATTTGTTTCTGCAAGCAAAGGAGAGGTTAAATTAGCGCACATTTTGGCTTTCCTTTAGAGAACAAAAGCCACAAAAAAACATGGTCTGGAAATACGACAAGAAAAATAGATCCATAGCCTTTGACACGAACACTTTGAATCAAAGTCAAGTTTTATCAGCAGAGGAATTGAAGAATAAACCCACCAGAGCTGGGGCTTCATAGTCTGTCCAAAGAGCCAGAAGTCAGTATCGCTGAGCACGTTATTAGCTGGATACATTTCTGCTGCTAAAAGATGATTCTGACGAAATACCCTTGATAAAGGGGTAAGGCTGAACACCACATGAGACAGCTGCCTGGCTGAAGCCGAGAGCAGCATCAGGACCATAAATGCATGGAAGTTACATTCCTGACTAGTCTCACTAAAGATCATTCTGTTGTAGGGTAAAACAACAGGTAAATCAGAGCTTAACTTCACCCTTTTTGAAAGCCTCAGGTGATTCACCAAGGAAACGGTCTTAAATTAGTACGTTCTTCCATCTGATGAGATAGAACTGAGAACACAGAGGCTTGCATGGGTTATTTAGACAGCAAACCACAGAAGTTATTCTGGTGAGGACAAACAAATTCATTGGTTACAGCAACATGAGATGCCAGATTGTTTGCTGGCAGCACAACACAATCTCTGCAAAAATTAAGAAAGAAGAAGAAAAAAAATCTGCTATTTTCCACAGCTGCAAGATATAAAACACAGAGTATTAACAGTATAGAGCAGTGATCTGTTATCCATACCAGTAAGTCATCCCCAATTCTTTGGCCAAAGAAAAAGCACATTACTACACGCATGCCCACCTGCTGCCCAGGCTGAGCACGGCTGTGGGAACAGGGGCAACCACCTCTACCCGAAGACAAAGCCAACTATGTGGCTACTTGAGGACTTTATCACAAAGAGTTAGCTCTCTGTGCCTTAAGGACAATTTTTTCCTTCACAGATACTTGGTCAGGGAACCTACCCACTCCAGCAGACAAACAAAGCTGCTTTCAGACCCACCTCTGACTCCGAGCTACCTTTCCTCCTTCGAGGCCCCGTGCATCAGGTCCAAGAGACTCATTAGCACAGCTGACAGAGCTGACAAGGGGGAAACAAGAGTCCTGTTTCGGCAACAGCCTTGCACGGGGGAAAGAGAAGAGTAAAACACCATGAAAGACTACGGCAGACTTGCATCCCCCACACCAGGCAGGAACTAGCTTCGGTGCAATGCTGCTTGGTCCTGGGACAGATGTGCATGGGACCTTGTGCACACTCCTCGGTCCGTGCTGCAGCACAGGGCACCCCAGAAATAGCTCAGATGCCCCACTCTACATCTCAGGGACTATTCAAAAGCCAGGGTCTTTAAAGAGATTTCTATATACCTAAAGAAAAATACTGTACCTGTCCCAAACACAAAAGCAGTCCATCATCTTTCATATGGATACTCTCCATAATAGCATCCACCTTTTGTTCCTTTTCCCCTCTGTCCCTCCAGGTGCTTACTATACCTTTAACTTATTCTTCTGTCCTACTAGTCAATGGCCTTTCAGTTGCACTGCTCTTCTTGCTTTTGCTTTCTTGTAGGATCACTCTGCTTTCCTAAGTGAACTGCATCCCATGGGAGCCCTCAACAGGAAGGAAATCGACCGATTGGAGCAAGTCCAGAGGACGGCCACAAAGATGCTCCGAGGGCTGGAGCACCTCTGCTATGGGGACAGGCTGAGAGAGTTGGGCTTGTTCAGCCTGGAGAAGAGAAGGCTCCGGGGAGACCTTATAGCACCTTCCAGTACCTGAAGGGGCTACAAGGAAGCTGGGGGGGACTTTTTACAAGGGCCTGTAGTGACAGGACAAGGGGTAACGGGTTTAAATTGAAAGTGGGGAGGTTTAGATTAGATATCAGGAAGGAGTTCTTCAAGGAGAGGGCGGTGAGGCACTGGAACAGGTTGCCCAGAGAAGCTGTGGATGCCCCATCCCTGGAAGTGTTCAAGGCCAGGCTGGATGAGGCTTTGAGCAACCTGGTCTAGTCGAGGGTGTCCCTGCCCATGGCAGGGGGTTGGATCTGGATGGTCTTTGAGGTCCCTTCCAGCCCAAACCATTCTCTGATTCTGCGTATGAGGGTTGTGCAAAGGGGACAGCACTGTCAGGCAGAGCTCTGGTTGGATTTTTTCGCTTGTTTGGGTTTCTTGGACTTCCCCCTGATTTACAATTTATTCTGAAGCATATTGAGGAAATCTAGGGATCAAACTCTACACTCAGTTACTCCAGGACTGACTTATCTAAATATCCCTGATTTTGAGTTCATCCAGTGTTAGACCAAGGTAAGTGAAGACTGAATTATGTGCCCAGACACATTCAACGTACCAGCCTCCTGTACGGTGTATATGTGTGTGCATGCACCTGAAAATTTCATTCATGCAGAAGAAGAAAGCATTCAGCAGAGAAAATACTGTAGATGTTAGATAACCACAAAATAAACACATTCAAGCTTTCATGACCTACTCAAGACATGACAATTATTCAGTTTTGCTCTCCCAAGTTTCAAGTAGGTGCTCTTTGTTTCTGCATCATCTGCATCACCTGCATCATGCCTGACTCGAATTCTTGGCCAATATTGGCACAGAAATAAAAAATAAATGATAAAGCAAGTAATTACTCCGAAAATGTAGTAACAGTGGCTCTTGACATTCAACACTGATTTGGCTAAACCTTTCCTGTGTAAATAAATATATGGTTTAGGTTATCCTGTGTTATGAGGTACAAAGATGAGTAATAGGCCATATTTTTGGTTCCTGAGTCCTAGAATTACACTGTTGGAATGAATTACTTTCCTGAAGTTTATGGTGTGACACATCATATGAGCAATTGCTGCTTCTCTCGATCGTCGCACTAAAATAGTTCAGGTTGGGCTAAAGCGTACTGGAGCGGAGGTGAGGGG